ATGTATGTTCAAACCTGTAGGTTGTATTCTCAAAGAGTGTGTATACAATACAATGTATGTGCCTCTCACCCTCTCATTGAAATATGACTTCATTTTTGGTGTAAAACCTCTGGTACTGTCCTGAAACATATCTGTATTGTCTGGAGAGGTTCTCTGCATGATTTTGTACTTCAAACTGATTGTAACTACTCATTCCTAGAGTAGATTGAACTGTATCATTGTTCAATAGATGTCCTAGAGCTTCCTAATACTCTATTTCCTTCTGTAGCATTGAAGTATCATTCCTGAATGCTTGAATAGTCTGATCAATCATTACTAATTCATTATCACTCTGATATTTGCTAGCTGTATGTGTATTGCCTTTGCTTTCCCTTAAAGCAGTGTGATAATCTGTTTGAGCAGATTGAGCAGATTGTCCAGGTTCTGAACCTGTTCTCTAGCTTGAAGTCGCCCTCTGAACTTCTGTACTTTGTTCCATACAAAGTGTATCCATTCCTGATCTCAGTAGTGTCTTACTATCCTTATGTTACATAGATTGTAGTGGTTCTACATCCTGTAGATTGTAATTGTCATTCTGTAGCTTGAATACCTTGATTCTTACTATGTATCCTGAGTATATGTGTGCTAGTGCATCCATTTGAGTGCCTGTGATACTCATAATACGTCTGATAGAGTGTCCTGAGTCTATTCCAATGAATCCTGGCTGTCTGAAGGTGTATTTCACAATGTAATACCTTATGTTCTGCTGTAGATACAATGTATACTATAGATCCTTGTATTCCAATCTGGTGCTGACGTTTCTGAACAATTCTTCATCATGAACTGAATAGTTTTGTAGTGTTGATACTGCTTCAGAATAAGCATCAGGCATGGAACTACATTGACAGTGATAGAAAGACACAGACATACACATACACAGTCGATTCTATTCAGTACAGGAAGAGATACAGGATTAGTATTGAGTACTACAAAGGAACTATGTCAGTTGACATTGGAACAGACATTTCCATCTTCAGGATTGAAGAAACAGTCTATAATGAGTACAATTGAAGTAATTTGCATAGAACATTGTTCTATAAGGTACAATTGGATGTTTCTTATCCTCAATGTATATACACTTTTCCTTACTCAATGTACTGATTTCTGTCTTCTAATGTGTGATGTAGCTTTCTAACTTAATAGAATACCTGTGTGAATCGTTTAGATTGAAATATTTCTCAGTATCCAAGAGTAGTCATATTTTATAGTCTAGTAATGCTTGATAGGTTGTCCTGCTTGCACAGTTTACTATTTGCATCACCTTGTAAACCATAATACTATCTGGCTGGTTATATTCTGATTGTCTAACATTCTCAGGTCCTTTCCTAATGTCCTGGTACACATTCCTGTTGTCTGTGAACAGCCTGTATTTCTTAAGAGTGTTGTTTTGATTTGTGGCTCTAAGAATTGGTAATAGTAGCTCTGAAGTGTCCATATATGTGTTGCCTTGTGCTTGTAGCATCTTAGATTCCTTGAAACAATGGTTGTATGCATGTTTCCTAGTCCTTTCCATGTGCCATGTGTATCTGTAGTCTTGTAGAATCCTTTCTACACTGTATGCCTGTGTCTATTGTTTGTTCTTAAACTACTGCTCAAGCTATTCTTATACTTGCTACACTTGATATGTGGCTTTGAACTGTGTAGTTTGCTGCACTCTGAATCAATATTGTTCTCACTAATACCACTACTGTATGCCTTGCCTGGGACTGCTTTCAATTGTGAAGTATTGCTATAGGATTGTTTGTTCCTTTTATTTTTGCAAGGGATACTCTGATGTCCTGAAAAACTCAATGTTTCTATTTGAGACTGTATATATCCAGGTATTTCGCTTTCTCTCTTATTCCTGGACCTGGCTAGGGTGTTGTATCTATTATAGTACTCCTGTACATTGCTCCTGTGCAATTTGTAGTTGATATCTACTATGTATAAGGTTAAACACTTGATTTTGTGAGTGTATACTTGATTTTCACCCTCTGGATCAAGTACTGATCCTTGTAGTTCCAATTTGCATTCACTTTTGCTATCCTCAAAGTACTGTTCTGTAAATACAATGTCTGTTTTGCTTGGATAGTCTGAATTGATTTCACAATTGTATTGAATGTCTGGCAGTTCTGGTTTTTGTTCTGTTCCTTGCACTTTGTATATTCCTCTCACTTTGCACTTTCCTTTTGCTTTCTGTGAATGTGATTGTTTGTCTGGACTCTTGAGTGTTTCTTCTACACTCTTAGATCAATAGTTCTGATCTCTATTGTCTGTGGGTACTATAACATGTCTGGCTTTTGTTCTGTAGCCTGCCTGAAGCGTTTCACACTTTTCTGTTACTATACTATTGAGTCTGCTCTTGTTTGATAAAGGAGTTGCTTTCTCCTCTTCCTAGTACATTCTATTGAACTTGTACATTCTCTTATTCAAATCTTCAATGTCTATTGAACTGTGGAATGGGCTAACATGTTCTATGTCTATCTTAATCACTCTGGCTCTTACAATGTGTCTGAAGGTCTTACTTGCCTTCTGGAAATCTTGTTCCTCATTGATTCTCTGTAGTTTCAATGCCTGGCTCTCCTAGCCTTGTCTGTTACTCTTGTCCATTGAGTCCTGGCTACTTTCTTCACTGCTTAAAAGGGTCTTAAGTGTCTCATTGCCCTCTACATTGCTGTTGTCAATGTGTTTCTGTTCTGAAGTAAGTGTACTCACTAGATACTTATCCACACTCTCACTGATACTAACTATATACACTCTGTAACTCTTGTACTGACTTGCAAATTCCTTGATGCTCACTGTTAGCTCTCTATATCAACTTAGTGAATCCTCAAACCAAATTGCCTGTCCTCTATCAAGTGAATCCTCAAACTTGGTAGCCTGAAATCAATTGAGTGAATCCTCAAGCTCAATTGCCTGTACTCAGTGAGTTGAATCCTCAAACTCAACCTTCTGTACTTGATTGGACAAATCCTTGAATCCAATCACCTGTTCATCCTGAACTCGACTGTCTGAATCCTCAAGAACAATTGCCTGAGCATTTCTGCTCTTTGTACCACTATTTACTATTTCTGCAAGTCTAGTAGTGTCAATACTCACTAGTGTCTGCTCTACAGTGTGTGTTTGTCTAACTATATGTACTGGTACAGTTACATGCCTTAGTTCTATGTTATTAGTATGTACTAGTTCATCAGGGTGCCTCCAGCCTTGTGTAGACAAGGACTTATCACCTAGTATAGGTTCATCAGGTTGCCTCTAGCCTATGAGGGATGAGGACTTACTTCCTAGCATGTTAGTATTGATATCTGGACTTGGGTACCCTCCAGGAATCGTCAGTCAAGGCTTGGCAGCTACATTGTAATCAATCTCTAATGGATAATCTTGTTGTCCATTGCCTGTAAACTTAATACACACCTGTTTGTTCCTTTTTGCCATCACAGATGCCTGGTCCTTGACCCATCCAATCAATGTGAACCTCCAGCATATCCAGTACTGGTCCATATCAATATGTGATAATGTGTTCCAGAAGCATTCCACAGTGTTCTGAAGCATTGTGAACCTACTAGGGGCCAATCCAGTAAGTAGTCTCTGTTTCTACTCGAAAATTGTAACTTTACTCACTAAAAATTCTGATGGGTACTAGATGACAAGGGAGACCTAGGGTTGATCAGACCCTTCAGTTCCTCAGCATCCAGCAAGGGGTTTCAGTGCTAGGTGGGTACAGTCAAAAATATGTAAGGAAACTCACTGTTCCTCACAAGAGAATTCTAATTGCCCTTAGTTCACTCAACTACTGACTAGGATAACCTAGTACTTGAGCAAGGGGTCAGGGGAAAAGAATCCCCTTTACCCAGCAGTCAATACTGTCTTTTATAGGGGTATACATGTGTAGATACATGAGGAGGAAGTGTAACTAACTACAATGAGAATATATGTGCTTGTGGGTCCTACTGTACAATGATCTGACATGATCAGCAATGTAGTGATAATAAAATACAAACCAGTAAATCAAATCCTTACAACAAACAATGCATTTATATTATACAAATGATATTATTATATGTGATACACAAGCAAATATAATACAGACACAATGTGTAATGCAGATACAATACTAATAAAAATGTTGGAACAATCTGCAAATCAAACATCTTATAAGTCTGGCCAACTTATAAATGTTTGAAGGGGAGTGGTAGCAGCACTATAACTACCCCTAAAAATAAAAATAAAAATAACTACAAATCAAATAAACAAATAGTCACAAAACAAACATATTATTAAACTAATATATGTTTGAAGGGGAGTGTTAACATATATGGAATGACACATATAAGTAACAGATGTACCTGAGACATAGCTACATATTATATATACCTACTGAATCAACAGACAATGACACTAAGTAGAGCAAGCTGAGTCCACTATCCCCCCTCTTTGTGTGATCCCTCTAAGCCTCTCACATAACCCCCTCTCAACAGGAAGGTTAAAGATAAAGGTACAAAGAATGAAGGGATGGACAAAGAGTAAGAGACTATAGAATAAACTAAGAATGAAGGGGTGGTCAAAGGAATGGAATGATAAAGTAAGGAAGGGTAGTAGTAAGAGTCAGCACACATATAGTTCATAGACAGCACCCCTGAGGGACAGAAGTCCTGAGTTCTAGTATGGAAGGGTGTAGAACCCTTAGAACTAAAGGTACAGGAGTGGAGAATCATAACACATAGTCTATAAGTCACTTGCACTTTAAAGTATAGAACCAAATAGACAAGCCAAGACTAGTGCTAGTATGAAAATAAAATTAAAAAAGCAAAGGAGTAATGAGCATAATTCAAGTATTGAGTATTGAATGTAGTCTCAGGCCTAGGGTTTGTGGCGGCCAAGATAGATCTAGACATTCCTTAAGTTTATCCTTAGAAATACTTAAGTTAGAATTGCTTATCCATACATTGTAGGCTACTTGGTAAACCCGTAGAACGTACTTCTTGGGTCACAAGACAATCCGTCCAGGGACAAAGAGAAAAGTGAAATAAAAACGTAAATTCGCATCGGATGTGTCGATACCATACATACATTGCTGATCATAGAACAACATACAAGATCGCGAAGTGGATATGCGAAGGAGCGCATGAACATTTTGATATGATATGACATGTAGGGTAGGGCACGAGTGACTAGAGAGATAAACGTGATACTATCCACTCAGTCCCAACCACTCGACGTTGGGTTCGCATCAGCGCCCCATCCACCTGTACCTGCCGGTTCCGCAGCCCAATCTCCTCCACCCGGCGCAGGCTCGGCTGACCAATCGAGGTTACCTTCAACAACAATTAGACAAGAATAAGGGAAAGCATAGGTGCAAGTTACGTACCAGATTCCAGAACAGCAGGGTTAATAGCTCCAGCAGCAGGAGCAGCTGTATTATCCCACTCCGCATTCGCAGCTCCAGCCTCCTGCTCACCAGCAGCATTCGCCTTATTCTGCGCTTCCTCCTGTTGTTGTTTCTCAACTTCCTCAGGGTCACGATAGAAGAACATATCAACCATCACATCCCATCCGTCCTTCGTACGCGGGACAGTCCCGCGAAGGCGTAGGACCTCTCGGCAGAGAAGCCACCAAATTAGACCAACAGCATGACGGGCCTTGTTATTCGTCGGGATAGCTACGTCGATGAATTGCAAAGGCGCATCGGTATCGCAGAGAGCGATGACCGGAATGTTAACATACGCCGCTTCCCGAATTGCTTGAGCGTCAACGCGAGGGTCAGTCACAACAAGCAACCTCGGCTCTTTAAACGACCTCGTAATATAATTCGTAAAATTCCCAGGTGTGAACCGTCCAGCAATAGCCTGCGCACCCGTAGCCGCTGCGAACTTCAAAACAGCACGTTGTCCATAAGGCCTCGCAGAAACGACACAAACATCATGTGGGTTCTCTACAGCAGCAATGATACGCGCCGCGAATACAATTTTCTCCCAAGTCTTCCCGATGTTGATGATGTGAATCCCGTCAGGCCTTCGTTTCCAGACGTATGGTTCCATGTGCTTGTCACAGTTTTTTGAGCCGATGTGGCATTGTGCGGCTAAGAGAAGTTGGATCTCGTCTTCTGTTGCGCTGAGGACGGAGGGTAGTTTCGTCGACGCCATCTATGCAGTATGACAAGTAAAGTAATCAGTAATGTTGTCATGAAAGAGTTGATACCCCTCGAATCCAGCCTGAGTGAATGGAGTTGTTGCAATTACGCTGAACGCTGAACGCTGAATGCACACATCTGATAACCCCCTTCAACGCGTGTCTGCAATGCGAATGGCAAACCGGATTCAAAGCGTCCTCTGACCAAGAACATCCAATCCCAGTACACCAGACCCAACCAAACCAACGCAGACAGAGTGTATCCATCCATCCATACCAAACATCCCTCATCCATCTTCCTCCCTCCACACCACCCACAAAAAGCACAACCCAATCACGAAGACACACATAAAACACAGATACTCACGTTGCTACAAATGCACGGACGTCAAAGAACGTGTCGAAGACGAATACTCAGCCGTTGTGTACGACAATGTCCAAACAATTTCGTGCTACAGAGTAGAGGCTGTGCACGTGCGTCGCCTCTTCGACTCACCTCTTAACCACTTCCCAAGAATCTAACTTTAGCACGCACAAATAAAACATAAAATCGACTTTATTTAAAATATTTACAGGACAGGAAATCAGGAAACCAGAAAATCCTTCCCCTTGACATAACGTACATCTTCAATGCTCAATGTTCACCAACACCATTATACAAGAAATCAAAAAAATAAAAGGGACTTGGATAGCAAAACGGCAACGACAATGCACGACAAACAGTATGAGTCGAAAGAGAAAGAAAAAGAAAAGCGTAAGAAGGGGAGGAGGGGAAGAGTCAGTCTAGATAGAGTGAGCTGTTTCGACAGTTGTTTTACTGGGCGATAAATGTTCAGTGGGAAAAAAAAATAACAGGAAGGATAAGAAAGACAGCGCAGAGCGAGCTAGTTAGAGAATAGAGAATAGAAAACCCATACACGAAGAGATTCAGTGTACGTCCTGACTGATGATATTAAGCTGCGACATCAGCCGGCATGGCCCTTGACCGCTTCGTAGGCCCGCCCTCGCTCATATCAGCATCAGACTGTTCACGGATAACAGCAGGTCCCACAGCAACCCTCTTGCGCGCGGTCGCGTTTTCCAAACGTCCATCTCCCCCATCCGTACTTTCCCCGTTCTCAGAAACAGGCGTCAACACAACATCTGAGGATGCACCGGCCTCGTTTCCATTTCCATTCTGCTGTTCTTTATGCGCACCGTTCGCGGCACCAGCACCAGTCTCGTCGGCCATCGATGTATCGGAACGTTCCTTGCGCTTGAGATTTTTATGATTATTTTCGTCTTCTGCGGAGGTATCTACGTAGTCAGGACCCTCTTTAGGAGGACTTTTTGGGAAGACACGGAACGATGACAGTTGACCGTTCTCATCTACTTCCGCGAACTGCATCGGTTTCCTCTCAAGCCCGCGCCGCTGGCTCTTCGCTTTAGAAGACGCCTCACCGCCTAACTCTCGCCCAGCTTCAGGAGTGGGTTTGACAGTAGTCTCGGTATTGAACGAAGACGCGTCATCCATCTTCATTTCCTCGAATTCACCAGAAACGCCTGTATTCTTCTGCTCCCCCTGCGCAGGCTGTCCTTCGGCGTGAAGTGGTAGATGGCGCGGAGGTTGCGGCGTCGTGACAGGTTCGTCCAAGAACGATCCGGCATTAGCTTGCACGGACATCATACTGTCATTGGGCGTGTCGCTCAAAACCTTCGGGTCGCTAGCTGCCAAAGGCGCAAGCCACGGGTGTCGAAGCGCTTCCGCACACGTCATCCGATCCGTTGGGTTCTCCTCCAACAACCTTTCAATAAACTTACGACAATCAACACTGATATTCTTATCATCAAGGAGACTCCAATCGATATAGCGGCTTCGGAACCGGATTGAAATCACAGACGCGTCGTCCTCCAGGAACGGATTGGAGTTCGCAAGCCTGTCGTGTTGTTGCGTGATGAGGTTCTGATCGGTAGTATATAGAAATGTCTTGGGAGACGGAACATACATAGCGAATGTGATTACGCCTGCACTCCAGCTATCGACGACGTGGCTGTATGTATCATCCTGATTGCGAAGGATGACTTCTGGAGCCAAGTATATCGGCGTACCGCACATCGTCTGTCACAGTGGTTTAGATAAACATTCCTAACATGTACAGGTCGGAAGAACATACCTTGAACCGTGTCATACTATCCACCACCTTCGCCAAGCCAAAGTCCGCAATTTTGAGAATTGGAGGATTGTCCTTTGTTAGGAGGATATTTTCGGGTTTGAGATCTCGGTGCGCAATGTCCTTCGAGTGGATGTACTTGAGAGCCCTGCATAACTGATACGCGAAATGGCGTGCCTCCACTTCGGAGACTCCATTACGGTTGATAATATAGTCCAACAAGTCACCGCCGTCTACGTATTCGAGAACGAGAATGACATTCGACGTGTCGTGGAAATGCTCCTTTAGCTGGCAAATATTCGGGTGATGCAGCCTCTGAAGGATTTCGATCTCTTTTAAGAACACGGTTGTGGCTGATTCGCCATCAGCGCGAAGCTTGGTACGACTGATCATTTTTATGGCGTATGGTTTGCCGTCTGCGCGGCATATAGCTCGTTTGACTGTAGCGAATGATCCGCGGCCGAGCTCAAATCCAACATCATAGTCTCTGTCGAGACCACTTGCTGGTGGCCCATCCGCCATGTAACGGAAGACAAATCTGTAATTATCTTCCTTGTTACTGTCCGACCATGAACCAAACGCGATGTCGCTTCCATCTTTCAGAATCGCGGATCTGCCCTTCCCAACCTTGGACCCATTGATCTACGAGAACGTAAATACGAGCAGTTATAGATTGCGCATTGTGAACTTACGAATGTCCCATTGCTCGACTTGTCCATCACCGTCAGGCTGCTATCACCCTTGAGGCTCGAGTCCCACCTCAGCATACAATGCTTGTTACTGATCTTCAGGTGAGGAAGAACGATAATGTTCTCAGAACCGCGTCCCAACGTCAGCGAGTTCCTATCCTTCCGCAAATGAATGCGCGGGAGGGAGCGACTCATTGGGATGAGTAAACCCCAGAGGGTCTCATCCCACCCTTCAAACACATCAGGTTGTTGTGACTGGGACGCCTGCTGTGTCTGTTCGAACTGTTGGCTGAACGCGTAGGGATCTGCTTCTGCGTCGTCGTGTTGGGATGGGTCGTACATCATGATACTATCAATACATATTGATGTCAGTGTACCGCGATCACCGGCTCAGAGAGTGGCTAAGACCCGAACGCGAACTCACCCAGTTGAGCTTGAACAGGCAGGAAAACGTTCTTAGGGAGAGAAGGAACGGGGGCAAAAAAAGCACGCCGTCCTGATGCTTGATTTTAAATACCGGTGAAGACTTCGTGGCCGACTGGGCCCTTTTTGTCCTCAAAAGGGTAAAGATATACAAAGCGGGGTTGAGCACCAAGATGGGATGGGCGGAGCACAGGGAAGCTGATATGTCGTAACGTAATACTAGTAGAAGCGTGTGAGCGAGATGGGAGGTCGCCGCTGCGAGGCAGTGCACTACCAGATGTCCGAGGATGTTGTCGTCGAGCAGAGAGACAGCTGATGATGGCGGCAGACGAGGGGGACGGAGACGGAGCGCGTCTAATCGAGTATTTGTAGCAGCAGACTGCAGCAGACACACGAAATTGAGGCTCGTCCCATGTGGCTGAAATTATGGCAGCACGTGATGTCGACGCGTCAAAATAATTATTATCTAAGGTGGATCGCCATGCATCATGCATCTATTGATGCAGATTTAGATTATTTAGATTTAGATTTAAGAATCAGCTCTGTACTCTGCAACACAGCTTGTCGCTTGGCACTAGCGTTCATATGGCTTTCACTTCTGGTGACGAAATTTTGCTTCTTGACGGTGGATTCGTGAGTATCAGACAAGTATTTCTAATTTAGGTCACTGAACAGAATACACGCGTAGGGAACCACTCTCGAGGACGTCTTCCAGAAGGATATCTCTAGTCCACTTTGGTCAGCGTCGCTCGTCGAAAAGGAGCCAGACGTGATTATTAAAGCACACTCCGAATTCCTAAACGCCGGATCGGATATAATTCTCACAGCTACGTGAGGCTTCAAATATCCAGTCCGATGTTATAAACACTCAAACGTTGTGCAGTTATCAATGTTCATTCAAAACATTCGACAGAGCAGGCTACTCCAGGCCTGACGCCATCAACTTGATGCGTAAAACAGTCCAGCTCGCTACACAAGCTCGAGATCTCCACCAACAAAGGAAACAAGCCAAAGTGGTATTGTCACTTGGGCCATTTGGCGCCGCTTTAACGACTGCCCAGGAATTCGACGGTATATACCCACCTCCATACGGTCCACGTGCTTTTTCCGCCAATGGACCAAATACAAACGCTTTTCACACCGCCGTTTCGGAGGAAGCAGCTATCCTATCCCTAAGAAACTTCCACTACGACCGTCTTAGAGTGTTTGCGATGAAGAAAGACGACGAAGTATGGAACCTAATTGACGGAATTGCATTTGAGACTATCCCCCTCGCGCGCGAGGTCAAAGCGATTCGATTAGCGATGGCTCGACTGAACGCACGTTTGAGAGAATGGGGACAAGAGGAAAAACCTTGGTGGATAAGTACAGTCTGGCCGAGTGGTGTACATCCTCAAGAATCGGGGTCTGGTGACAGGCTAAGTGGAAAAGACGTTGCTGAGGCATTGTTACTTCCGGACAGTACTGGAGATTTACCAGTACCCAGCGGCGTTGGGATCAATTGCACACATATCAAAGACCTTGATGAGGTGGTCAGCAAGCTCCGACGTGCCATTGACGAAATCAAGCCAAATCGCAAACCCAGTTTGGTCTTGTATCCTAATGGAGGCGGTGTTTACGACATCGTTAAACGTACGTGGACTAAACCCGAAGGAGAGGAGGTTGATACAGAAGAGTTCCACATTTCATGGGCACAGAGGTTGGTGTCTATCGCAAAGAGGGAACAGGAAACGGGAAGCTGGGGTGGGACAGTCATTGGCGGATGTTGCAAGACGACTCCAGCACATATCAATTTGCTAGCAAAGTCTTTAGGGAGGGGTAGTGAATAGGGCGACTACCTTTACTGAATGCACGAATGCCTTCTTTATACTCCCGGAATTTATCTAAATTTAGATACATATTGTGTACAGATTATAATTAACACAGAAGCCGAAAGAAGTTCGGTATGACGAACGATAGCAAGTCTTCTTTTTAATTCAATACTCTTGGCTTTCTTCCACGTGACCTATCGTATTCAATCTGTCAACGTCATGCATCGAGAGAGCTCTTTATCGAACTTTGATCTAAGACAGCCAGTTGCAACAGAAACCCAGACATGCAGGAAGCAGAAGCGCAGAACCATCAGGGGCCGCAATCCAAGAAACCAGTACGCAATATTCCAAGTCTCTTGACCACAGGACAGAATCTCAATCATTTAAATTTTGAAACACATTAAAAGCTTCTCACCGAACACCTATTATCGATAACAAACCCTGAGAACTACAAACTCGCAACTCAACACCTATTCCTCCAAGCCGCACGTACACAATCACTCGACAGCGCTCTCCTCTCCCTCTGGCTTTCTCAAGACCGCATATACGCAGCGCATGGTTATCCGCGGTTCATCGGTGGTCTAATCACTAAAATCCCATTCTCATCAGAACACAGTATAGATGGTGAAAGAGAGAGGAAGAATCAGCGAATCTTATCTGTGTTGACGTATTCACTTGAGAACGTCGTACGAGAGGCGGACTTTTTCATGAAGTCTGCACAGAAGTACGGGCTGAATATTGAAGGATGGAAGGAGCGCGCTGCAACGAGGGCGTATTGTGCTGAGATGGCTCGCCTGTCAGGCTGGGGAAGCCTTGAAGAAGGATTGGTCTTTCTTTGGGCAATGGAGAAAGTGAGTGCAAGCATCCATGCTCTACTCAGTCACAGACGGAACTCATCAGCTGTGTATATGTCCAGCTCTACTTAGACTCATGGACATTCGTCGCTCAGGGTTTACCTGACCGAGCAGCCGCTGCTACTCAGAACAGTACCAACCAAGCGATACATGACTTTGCGAAGAACTGGTCGAATAAGGAGTTTATCAAGTTTGTTGATGACTTGGCTGAATTGGTGGACGACTTGAACATCGATCCTGATTCGGAATTAGGCGCTCGTGCAAAGAGAGTATGGGAGAGGGTTGTAGAGCTGGAGATTGAGTTTTGGCCGCAAGCTGGTGAGGACGTACAGATGCGGATCAATACTTGATTTTTGGAGGTGGACATGTAATGTATGACATAATGAGGAAAGATATTTGAATGTTAGACATAAAATATTTTCTTCAACCTTGAATTATTGTTGATGTACGGCTCTGCTGTGTGTTACTTAAGATGTTGTAATTTGTGTTAGTATATGTATCATCAGTATTATGCTACTGCTGAGAGAGGGTATGGAGTGTTCTGTGCTAAGGAAGTTGCAATTAGTAAGTAATAGTATTGGAACACATGTATGCTATGTCACTGATTCATACATATGAAAGTAGCACTCAATCCAGGTTATCAAGGCTAAGCTTGTGTTCTGTTGCTCTCATATAAAATTACAGAGTGTGCTATACTACTAGTATATTTTTATTGACTACCTCACTCACACCCTGTCATTAGGAGCTCTACTTTTATTTCCTATTAATATGATCTGCTAGCGATTCCAAAACTGATTGCTGTGCTGGTGAAAAGTCTGACCCTGATTTATCTTTTGAATTGGCACCAGATTTATCAGTAGTGCTGTCAGGGCCTGAGTCAACACGGAAGTCCTGATGGTCATTATAACCCCTACTGAACGACTCTGGAGATGTTTCATCAGTGCCACATATCACTATTGTGGTGTAACTTCGAGGCTTACCTGCAAAACTGCTTGAACTCCTGTGCTCATCCTTGGACGCTCCCTTATCAGAGCTCGGGTTTGTTTGATTTTCCCTCTTCGACATTGTTAATTGTTGATGGTGATGAAGTGGACTCCTTTGGAGGCTCTGTCTTATATGTTACTGTACGCCTCATCTTTGTTTTTAATAATTTCCCCATTCGTCGTGTGCTAGTAAGAGCAAAGTAATAATTGCATCAGAAAGAAATGATACGCCACTAGATGAGGCGTCTGAAGTAGGAAACCGTACGCCACTGGATAAAATAATGCAATATTACTGCCTGAGAGCGTAGAATGGCCGTTAGGAACATGTCCTCCGCTCAACACTGTCTATCTTTAAGGCCGCGAAAATGTCTGTCCGTATGTCCGTATCAAATTATGAAGACTATGCAATGCAAAGTTGTTGAACTATTGCGCTAATGCAGACTGAACGTCACTTTCTGGTCGAACTATATTAATTAATGCAGGCAAACATATCGAATAAACTGTGATAGTACAATGCGCCAAGGCCAATAATGGTCGCTATGGTTAGATTGCAATGCCCATGGATGAAAACCCACTCTTTTCAATAGATTTCGGAGTATACCATATAAGAGACACGCATATCATTATACTTCAGGATGCAATGCTACCCAAGGCATTAAACAAACCAAATACACCCCAGCCCGAATCCGAAGCAAACAAATCCTTCCTAGACGTTCGGTTTGCCTTCTCAATCAACAAAGCTGACAATACGACATCGTCACTTATCTGCTTGGCATGCTTAGAAATGAGGATGCTCGCAAATGTTGTCGTCGGCTTTCCCCCAGGCGTCTTTTCCAATGCGGGAGGAATAAACTTTGCTATGGCTATTGTTTTATCATCATCTGCAAAAACCTTTGAGATATGGTCAGAGATTTCTGAAGGACAGATGAATCTATTTTCAGAGAGTTCTCATACTTGAATATCTGGACTATCTTCAGCTTTCTCCCATGTGTATGTATGGCCTTGCTCATCTGTAAAGGAGAAACCGCTGGGAACATCATAAAAAGAGATTAGTCAAATATCCAGTGCGAACCATGTTCTCGGTTAATGGAACGAACCGTCCTTTCCCCAGTTTCTTACCCTTCAACCATTTCCCCACGTTCTCCATCTCACGTCCATGTACACTCACTTTGTCACTCAAGTGCAGGTGCCACTCCAGTGATGCAATTACGTTTCCTGACGCATCAACAAATGTCGTTATAGGCCTTGATCCTGACTCGTCCGTAGTCGCCTGGTAGACAATTTGTTGTGGACTTTGTGCATCTGTAAGGGTCGTACGACAAGGGTCTGTGGATGTAAGGCTGTATTTCTCCCAGATGTCCATAGCAGAAGGAGGATAATTTGTAGAGGGGCGTTGTACTTTAGGGAAATAGAGGTTGGGCTGTGAGTGTCCATTCTTATGCTTTCTGGCTGGCAATAGATTATAGATGAGCGGTAAGCAGCATGTGGATGAGCGGTCAACCAAATATAGATTCATCAAGATGTTGTCATCTTATATTCGTTCAGGCTTGATGATCATTGTTGGGCGTATGTTGCATTTGTTATTCAGACAGTAGAGGGGTTCAAAGGGTCACAGTTGCACCTGGTCAGGCTGATTTACTCATGACTCGCCTCATGTAAAGCAGATCACGTGAAGGTATCGCAAATTTCATCCGCATCGTGCTGCTGAAAGTCTGAAACTATTGAGGCACTTCTCCTTGTCTTTCATCATGTCTACAACAAAGGGTCTGAAGGCCATTGCGCCTGTTCCGACTGCATCTGATTTCCTTGATATCGTACTAAACAAAACACAGAGGAAAACACCGACAGTGAGCATCAGAATGGCCGACTCAGTTCTTCCACTAAAAAAGCGACTAATATGCTCTTGCACAGGTTATCCATAAGAACTTTAAGATCAGTCGGATACGAAACTTCTATATGCGCAAGGTTAAGTTCACGCAGGATTCGTTTGATGAGAAGCTTGGGGCGATTTTGACGGAGTTTCCTGTGCTCGATGTGCGTTTTTATTATGTATCTGAGGGTTTCGTTATCTTGATGTCTACTCTACGCAGGACTTGCATCCTTTCTTGGCTTCACTCATGAACGTTTTGTATGACAAAAACCATTACAAGCTGGCATTGGGTCAACTGCGGACATGCAGGCATCTGATCGACCAGGTTGCAAAGGACTACGTGCGACTACTCAAATTCGGAGACAGTCTTTACAGATGCAAACAGCTGAAACGTGCAGCGCTCGGTCGGATGGCAACTATTATGCGCCGTCAGAAGGATCCACTTGCATATCTTGAGCAGGTCCGTCAGCACATTGCTCGTCTTCCCGCGATCGACCCGAATACCCGTACACTTTTATTATGCGGCTATCCGAATGTGGGCAAGTCGTCCTTCTTAAACAAGGTCACACGTGCGGATGTTGACGTCCAGCCGTACGCTTTCACGACCAAGTCGCTTTTCGTGGGTCATTTGGACTACAAGTACCTGCGATGGCAGGTTATTGACACACCTGGGATCCTTGACCATCCGCTTGAGGACATGAACACGATCGAGATGCAGAGCATTACTGCACTGGCTCACTTAAAGGCATGCGTACTTTATTTCATCGACCCTAGCGAGCAATGCGGTTATTCCGTCCAGGCTCAATGTAGCCTCTTCCACTCCATCAAGCCGCTCTTTGGCGGTAAACCGGTCCTTCTTGTAGTCAACAAGACCGATATTTGTCGTCTTGATGATTTGCCGCCCGAGTCGCGTGCGCTGGTCGACGAAATAGTAAACTCGGAAGGTGTCAAATGTGTCCAGGTGTCTTGCTACTCTGAAGAAGGTGTTATGGATGTCAAGAACGCTGCTTGCGACGCCCTGCTTGCACATCGCGTGGAGACAAAGTTGAAAGGTAGCAAGATCAACACGGTCATTAACCGAATCCATGTTGCTCAACCTAAACCACGCGACGACGTTGAACGGAAACCTTTCATTCCGAAAGCAGTCTCGTCGAAAAAGAAATTTGACAAGAACGACCCGGAACGCCGCATGTTGGAGCGTGACATTGAGGATGCGGATGGTGGAGCAGGAGTGTATATTATCAACCTCAAGAGTAAGTGTCACTCATTTCACTTTTATCTGGGTCATTGCTAATATGCGCGCAGAAAACTATATGCTTGAAAGTGACGAATGGAAATTCGACATTATCCCAGAAATTATGGACGGCAAGAATATTGCGGACTTCGTGGATCCAGACATTGAAGAGAAACTCGAAGCTCTCGAGCGCGAGGAAGAGCGACTCGCCGAAGAAGGTTTCTACGACGAGAATTCAGACCTTGAACTCGGCTCGGAAGACGAGCGTGAGGCAGAGGAGCTCCAAGCCGCCCAAACCAAGCGCAAGGAATCGCAAGCGACGAAGAAATCACTGAAAAATGGTGCTCGACTCCCACGGACTGCGGGTCTGCGCACGCTGAGTGACATGTCGGAGAGCCTGACGAAAGCCGGGTATGATCCTAGTCGGATTCAAGAGCGTGCAGCGTTACTTGCAAAGGCGCAGGGCCTGAAGCGGAAGCGTGCACAGGAAGAGGGGATGGATATTGATGAAGAGGGTGACGAAGACGGGGAAGGAGATGAGGGAGATTGGATGGATGTTGATGGAGAGGATAGGACGCCGCAGAAACGGGCGAAATCGAACTCTGGTGCTGTCGTCTTGTCCGGAAGGGGACCGCGGACGAATAGACAACTGGCGGGTCTGCGTGATGATGCGGTTCGTAGATTCATTGAATTTCTTGTGACGTTTGCAACTGATTTTCTACGCCCGTCGTTACAGCAAGCTGCGAAGGCGATTAAGTTGCGCAACCTTGGACAGCGTGAGCGCAACTACCAAGCGAAGGCAGGAGAAGCTGACCGTGCTATCAAGACAAAGATGGTGAGCATCTACGTCTTCCGCTTCGAGCATCTTTAGTCTGACGCATATTTGCTTCCCTTAACAGCCGAAGTGGATGTACACGGGCAAACGAAAAATGGGCAAGACCAACAGGCGTTGATTGCTTATCCTTCTTGTTTCACATTTCGATTAGATGTGTGTAGTTGCTTTCGTAGTTCTTGTTTATGTATGCTCGTGCAATGCATGTCTGTACTTTACTCTAACCTTCATACTGTTGCAGGATGGATTCCCACGCCACGTTTGTATCCCGAATTTATAAACCCGGTTGACCTTTAACCATTTCTTCCGGATACTCCTAAGTTACCACGTCTGCGGCTGACATTAAACTTGAAACTCCCATAAACATTTGACAATGTTTCGTTGGCATTGACCATTGCTTCGACTCTTATTCGCTAGCGTACTTTCCGAATTTATGTCTCTGGATCGGGTTACCACTGTTGTGTGCGTGGAAGGACTATTCACGGGATGGGCTCCGTTCTTGTCCCTCATCCCTGAAATTCAGCAGGCGGTAGAGTGGACAATGGCTCTCACCGTACGGTTTCTTCTACAATACTTTGCCTTCATTCTGGATTTGACTGCGTCCGCGGCACATTGATCTGCCTCATCTGAGGACAAATTCTTGTTGCCTTATACTGACATACGCAACGAACTGAAGCCCTTATGGAGAGACCCTGAAATCCAAGGACTGCGCTTAGCATAAGCCATGCAGACACTAGAATGCAAGCGTTTCGCTACTCTTGCTATCTTGGATTCATGCCGCTAATGGGTTCGCACTGTCATGACGAAAAATTTGCTGGTCACAAAAAAGCTGGACCATTCGACACAAATACCCGAATCATTATAAATCGGAAAAAACGGATTTTAACCGTTTGTAGACCAATGCACGATGTTTCTGTCTCCAGTAAATTGAATTGAGTCGAACGACGCTTGTCTCTCCGTGGCGCATGTGAAGGTTGTATGAAAATTTCAATTGTGCGCTCACACTGGAATATGGCTGCTTTGGCCCCTTCACGCTGCGTGTCTACCAGTCGGAACTTCTTCTGATCGCTATTGGTTTCCCGCTTTCGGTACGCTATCGTTTGGCGGATCCCGATCCCGGTTCAGAGGTATTTCCTCGGGTCACCAGAATGTCTAGCTCAGTGTAAGCACCCTTTGCTAAGAATAAACCTGAACCGTTCGGTTTATTATCTTTTCGCAGCATTCTGAATGGCTGAGCGGAACAGATCACCGAAGATGCGCTCTCACCGTTGGGAGTGAGCTTCTCCGGACGGCCTTTCTTTGTCCAGTATTTCCGTTCTTGTAACCAAACTGGACATCAGCTAACAGAGCTCCTTCAGTACGAGCCGGGCTGTATAAAAGTAGGTGTTGACACAGTCCTCATCCTTCACTCTTCGAGTCCCTCTCTTTCATCGAGGATCACGATCATCACCAAGGTTTCCATATGGGTTTTAAGCTTGTGATCCCGACTGTCGTCGCTCTTGCAGCCCTTGCCGGGGCCGCACATATCAAACGCGCTACTTGCCCCGACGGCAATACTGCGTCAGATGAAGCTGTGCGTAAATCATTTTTACTTCGATCTCCTGACATTCTGATCATCGTGCCTTTAGTGCTGTGCTTTCTTCGCCCTACGCGATGATCTGCAACAGAACCTGTTTCAGGGAGAGTGCGGCGAAGACGTGCATGAATCTCTGCGCCTGACATTCCACGACGGCGTTAGTTTCTCGTTAACAGGACAGTTCGCGGGCGGTGGTGCCGATGGATCGATCCTGCTCTTCAGCGATATTGAAACTAACTTCGCTGAGAATGCGGGCACTGAGGATGGCACTGATGCCCTTGCACCTTTCCTTACTCGACATCTCGTTTCAGCTGGTGACCTTATCCAGTTCGCTGCTGCTGTGGGCTTGACTAACTGCCCTGGCGCACCTCGTCTTCAATTCCTCGCTGGCCGGCCGAACGCAACGGCACCTGCCCAGGACGGTGCCATCCCGGGACCTGCTGACACTGTAGACAGCATTCTCTCCCGCTTTGCAGACGCTGGCTTTACTTCCGCAGAAGTCGTTCATCTGCTGGCATCCCACACCGTTGCGCGTTCGGACACAATCATCCCAGGACATGAGGCTGTCCCGTTTGATAGCACACCCTTCAACTTTGATACACAGTTCTTCCTTGAGACGCTGCTTAAGGGTACCGGTGTCCCCTTCGGTCGTATGGAGCCGAACATTACTGGTGGTGAGGTCGACTCTCCTCTGTCAGCAGAGGGTGAGATGCGTCTTCAATCTGACTTCGCCCTCGCTCGCGATTTCGTACGTCACTGCCATTTTATTATTTTACGTGGAAGTATTGATTACTGCTTTTTAGCGCACGGCATGCGAATGGCAGAGTATGGTCGACGACCAATGTCTCATGGTGGAAAACTTTAGGAATGCGATGAAGAAGCTTTCGGTAGTAGGACAAGACACGAGCAAGCTCGTTGACTGCTCCGATCTCATTCCAGAAGCAAAGCCTGCTACCAAAGAGCATGCCACGTATGTCTCGCTTTCTAACCATCTTGATTTGGGTATAAATAGTTGTCCGCTTTCAGATTTCCCGCGGGTACGTGCCCTAAGGAGATTCAACAGTCTTGCAAGGCGCCTTTCCCGCGCCTTGCCGTTGATCGTGAGTGCTTGAATGCTCCCAGCCGAAGTTCATTTTACTTATGGTATATACGTTATTTTATAGCGGGCCAGCCGACTCAGATTCCGCAGTGCCCTGACGGCTCCCTCAACCCTGCTGACTGCCCATCTTAAATGAACCGTCTTTTACCTTTATTCCGGCTCCTGGGTGTTGCTTATTTGCAAATTGAATATTGTTTTAGACTGTCGTGACTCGTTGTGTTCTGTCTCTGCATTGCAATGACACTGTGTTTTTCCTGGTAATATATTGTGCAGGGTCTTTCCTCAAGGATGAAAGGAAGCAGGGCTAGACCTCTTTGTGGTACTGATCCGCCAAGTGATGCACCTCCAAATGAGGCATCCGACTTGCTATTCATGGACGGTGCTTCTTTTGGTAATTCTGCCTGCGACTCAAAATTCTCGTGTCTCTGGCAAGCACTTGTGTCAGGACTCCTAATTTGCCTACTATCTGAAAGCGATAAATCTTTGGCGCCCTCTGATAAAGCGTACCTTGAAATGCTCCAATCAGTTTCCTTGTGGAGCAACAGATGAAATTCTCCCAATGCACCACTTGGGTTTGTGTACTTCGACTTCGAAAACCTTGGACGACGGGCTCCTCTTCTTTAATTGAAACTGGTAATGTGGATCATCTTCACGTAAGTTTTGTTTCATCGACTGTGTGTATCTCGGATTTATTTGACGTCAGAACGGGGCTCCATAAATTGATATAGAATGTGGGGCATGAGTGGGGCGCACTGGTACGCCTTATAAAATGGTTCCGCCGAATGCTACTAGGCGGCAACAAGTATCCAACCCTCGTATCTGTTGACCTTCCTCGCTTCCTCAATCCTGCTTATTGTGTGTTTGCTACTTTCTTTCTTGTGACATTGGCCCTAAATCGGACTATTTATTCATTCTGCTAGGTTTATAAGCTTCCGTAACATCATGCCTCTCTTTGGACACAAGAACCAACCGGAACCAGGCATTGACGAACCACAGGCGTACAATGACCAGCCTAATCGCAAACGTTCCCTCCTATCCCGTCGTCATCGCTCAACATCGCCAAACGGTACTCCGATGAACGCACGTAATAACAATGCGAACGGTTACGCCGACGACCACAACAACACCCGCTTTAGCACACGCAGCGGTGGTTTCTTCTCTCGTCGTCGCTCACATTCGTCCGACGACTCTGTGACCCACAGAAGTACCCGAAGCGGTTCTGGTCATGGCATGGGATTTAACGGAAAACATCTAAACGATCCATCTATTATGGCCGCGCGGCAGAAAGTTGCTGAGGCAGAGGAAGCAGAACGTCAAGCTGATCGTGCTCTTGTCGAAGCGCGTGCGTCTGTGCGCGAGGCGAAAGAGCACGTCAAGAACCTTGAGCGTGAGATCGAGGAAGAGTGAGTGATCTATACTTTTTTTTACACTCTGTTTGATGACTCATATGTTCATTTCTGTGCAGAGCGCGTATGTACAGAATGAAGCAACAGGAAGCGAAAGCAGTTAGCAAATCCGCAAAGGGCCTTGGTCGACACGGTTGAATATCTGACAACGTAATGCATGTGCTTTCTCCCTATGCTCTCAAACACTGTCAAAGACGCCTCGTGATTTATACCAAACATATCCATCATTATCTCGAGGCGGTATCTTGTCTAGTCTTCTGTTTTCATTCGGATACTTTCGTGATACTGTATTATAAGTTTTCTTTTACGTTATTCGTAATAATCAATGCTTTGCGTATCCTTAGTTGAAAATACGGAGTGTTCAAATAAATTCATATTTTTAAATATTAATGAGTGGTATGAACAGAGGTAGTCATGAATGAAACCAGACGAGACAATAATTATGATAGTGCTCTACAGTGACAAGCCAATTCCCTTCCAATCCTGAAGACAGCGCTACACGGCATTAGGTATTTACAATCTTACATAGCAAATCAGAAAGTAAAACCATTACTTTAAGAGCAGTTGTCTGCGTCAGAGCCGCCATCAGGGCAGGCAGGGATGGAGGTCTCGGGGCCGGCTGGAAGAAGAATTAGTAAGGATATCATGAAACAGATTGTCGGAATTACTCACAGTCAGCGCTAAGAGTTGGGAACGCCGTAGCTGTGCATGCCTGCTGGACGTCGGTCTGGTCGGTGCCGGCGGGGAACGAAGCGGGCTTGTTGACAGGAGGCAAGGGGGCTGGGATGACTTCAGAGCAGTCTACAAGACTGTTAGTGTCTTGGCCGATAACTGCGAGCTTCATCATTGCGGAGCGGAAGTTGTTCATCATAAGCTGCTGGTTGTCAACCATGCTCTGCCATTCGCACGCCGTGCGCGAGTCACGCGCCAAGGCGAAGTCGGACTGCAGCCGCATTTCGCCCGAGTCAGGGATAGGAGAGTCGACTTCAGCGCCTGGAATGCTGCTGGTCTCGTTGAAGGGCAAGCCGACACCCTTGAGCAGGACTTCCAAGAAGATCTGAGTGTCGAAAGTGAAGGGAGTCGAGTCGAATGGTACTGCATCGTGGTTCGGGACGAGCGTGTCTGAACGAGCGATAGTGTGGCTAGCGAGGAGGTGAATGACTTCGTCAGAGTTGATGCCGACGTCGGAGAAGCGGGCGAGAATGTCGTCGACGCTGTCCTGAGGCTCCGGGACGGTGCCGTCCTGTGCAGGTGCAGTGGCATTCGGACGACCGGCGAGGAACTGCAATTGAGGCGCACCAGGGCAGTTCGTTAAACCAACAGCAGCTCCGAACTGAATCAGGTCACCTGCAGTGACGTTGTGAGTCTGAAGGAAAGGTGCGAGATCGTCGACCGCTTCATCGGTGCCGTTGTTAGCGGCGAAGTTGGTCTCGGTGTCCCCGAAGAGAAGGATTGAACCATCCGCGCCACCTCCGGTGAATTTACCGCTGTTCGAGAAGCCAACAGCGTCGTGGAAAGTCAGACGAACGACTTCATGAACCTCTTCACCACACTCGTTTTGGAAAAGATTGTTCTGAAGGTCGTCTCTGAGGGCAAAGAAGACACAGCACTATGTGGAGATGTCAGTATCAGACTATCTAGTAAGAGCAGGGGAGCAGACTGACAGCTTCATTGCTTGCAGTGTTCTTGCCGTCCGGGCAAGCAACACGCTTGACGTTGGCAGCTCCGGCAGCGGCAGCGAGAGCCACAGTAGCGACAGCAAGCTTGAAGACCATGTTATTAAAGGACAAAGGACTGGGAGTAGGAAGTGAGGGTGAAGCTTGTCGACTGTAGACTGGAGAAAGTACGAGGAAATGTTGCCTGCTTTTATACCATTGCAGAGCTCAGTATCATACTGTCATTTGTCGCCAAGACATAGCCCAATAATCAGTATTGGAGGCGAAACCGCAGTGATCATTGAGTCACGAAACATAGCTGGTCAATTCAATTTGTCGTGTTCCCAGCGATGGGACAGAGCATGGAGGAGCTACCGACCACTCAGAGTACGGCGAGTAGTAATGTCGCGCGGGTGACAACATAGCTTTGTGTTCGCTAATCTCGACTATGACGGAAACATACCGCGCGTGCCCGAAACAGTCATAAGAAACACAGAAAGTTGAAGGCGGACTCACCCACGAACATGGAAACGGGAGCTCCTGAGAGCGCGGACGAATTGAGCCGCCTCCATGGCCGTGGTAGGTACCGAAAACCGCGCCTCTGGATATGGAGTCTGTGGGAAGGGCATCACAGCGCCTCATGTGGCCCACTGCCACAATAAGCGTGCGCATTCCCTTGAGGCGCTCACCGTCATAAATAACCGTTGGAAGAAGTCGGATCCGAATGCCTATACATGATATTACTTGCGTTTAATTGGCAGCTGCAGATTCCAACGCCGTGGAACAAAGAAAGAGCCTGGGACGAAAGCTATGATCATCTGAAACGGAAGCGGTACGGGTTCACATAGATCAGCCATGTCTGGACACACAGATCAGGAACACGACGGGTTATGATACGCGATAACGGCGTCTGGCGACTGTCGACTGTAGATGCTACGCATTGATGTACTCAAGAAGTCGTGCACGTATGGGCGGTAAGGCCGTGTATTGAAGGAACGTCGAGAACAGATGCAACGGAACCAATTATTTGAACAAAGAACTTTCCCACACTGATTAAATAAGCATCATTAATGCATGCATCCATTCGTTCATTCCACACACTGCATCCGTTAAATACCACAATACATATTCACACACAAAATGACCCTATACACACCAAAGAGACCAGGGAAACCCTTGTTTGATTTAATTATTGGCACCACCTTTTTCGTAGTTAATAACTTATTTAGGACGGGCAGTCAGCAAGGTTGAGGTCGCCGTTCGGGCACTCTGGAATCTGAGTGGCCTGGCCGGCTAAAGGAGCGGTACACAGCTTGTAAACGGAATAGTCATCACTCATAAGGGATGGGAAAACACGTACGATCGGTACGGAGGACTGGGAACGGCAACGGGCATGACTGCTGGACTTCATTGCGACTTGTGCCTGCAGGGAAGCTGGTGACGCGGAACTAACCGTTAGTAGTGATTTATGAAGTAGAACATGAAGCAACACGTACGTGGCGTGCAACTTCACGGCCGGCTTCGGGACGGGGATGAGTTCGGAACAGTCAACGAGTTTGCTTGTGTCCTGTCCGACATTCGAGAGCTTCATCATCGCGGTCCTGAAATTCTCCATCATGAGACGTTGGTTGTCAACCATGCTCTGCCATTCGCAGGCCGTACGCTTTAGTAATGACGATTAGCATGTTGAATTAAAACTCTCGTAATAATAGAAATTTACCTGGTCACGAGCAAGAGCAAAGTCGGATTGCAGACGCATCTCGCCTTCAGCAGCAAGAGGAGAGTCGACTTCACCCCCGGCTGTGTTGGGTTCCGTGCGGTTGAACGGGACGGCAGTTCCCTTAAGCAGAGTCTCGAGGAAGAACTGTGTGTCGAAGTCGAATGGCGTGCTGTCGAAGGGAACCGCCTGATGATCTGGGACAATCGTGTCCGAGCGAGCTACAGTGTGAGATGCAAGCAAGTGTATAACTTCTGCAGTCGTGAAGCCCGCGTCGGCGAAACGGGAGAGAATGGTATCCACAGAGTCAGCCGGTCCTGGAATGGCACCGTCTTGAGCAGGAGCCGTTGCGTTAGGGCGGCCGACGAGGAACTGAAGACGAGGGGCGCCAGGGCAATTTGTTATGCCGACAGCAGCAGCAAACTGGATAAGGTCGCCAGCAGAGACGAGGTGACGAGTAAGGAATGGCGCGAGAGCATCAGCACCATCGTCAGTACCTGCATTCTCAGTAAAGTTGGTCTCGATGTCACGGAAGAGGAGAATCGAGCCGTCTGCTCCGCCACCCGCAAATTTGCCTGACAGCGAGAAACTGACACCATCGTGGAACGTCAGGCGCAGGGACTCATGTACGTCCTCGCTACACTCTCCCTCGAACAGGTTGTTCTGCAAGTCATCGCGGAGAGAGAAGAAAGCGCAACACTAAATAAACATTTGGCTAGTTAGCGGGATAGGACAAGACTAATTGTCAGAGATACGAACTGCTTCATTTGTTGCAGTATTAACCCCGTCGGGGCAAGTGACACGCTTGTAGTTGGCAGCGCCAGCGACAGCAACGAGAGCAACAGTAGCAATGACAAGCTTGAAGACCATACTGAGTATTTTTTTTGACGACTGTAAAGCCTAGGAGTGGAGAGGACTCGACGAGTGAAGAGTAAAAAGCCAGTTTTCACCTGTATTTATACACTACCTCGACAGATAATTTTATTGCCCAAGTCCATGCCGATAAAATATCAGATGCCATGAAGATGGCGAGACATTACTGTAGGCATACTCTCAGCGATGAGAGCACATTTTCTGCATCACAAAGTTGTTGGGACCAGTCATAGACCAGTAAAGGAATAATTCTCTAGACTTCAAGGTGTTTTTGAGCTATTTTCATCGCAGCTTCTCGGTACCTTGACATGTCTTTATGAAAATCTGCACAAAACCGGATGGAAGCCGTTCTGGAACCATGCGGATCGGCCTCGTGATTTGACAACCCATGAGTACGGAGGCTAGCAATTCTCTAGAGTACTCCGTACGCCCGGTACAGTACACCAATCCAAAGACAGGGAGTTGGGACGGAAGCACCAGAGGTTCGCCACAGTGAGAGTAAAGAGACAGAAAAATCACTTGTGTCGCTTGTTTGTTGTACCCGGTGTGATAAAAGCTATGCCAACAAACCTGTCGGACCATAATAGCGAAGCTGCTTAAAGTCTAGAATATCATGAATCAGTTGAGGCTATAGTCAAGTCAGGACCATCAGAGTTGTAGATCCAGACCTCGGCAGGCACTACAACAAGATTGCCTTTTTAGGAATATTTGCCGGCTGTAACAGATGCCGTGAAATATGCAGAGAATATCTGAAGTGCGGCGTGACTTGCGCGATTCGACCGGTATCCCATTACTAGGAGAAAGTAAGTATAGGGATTAATCATCACAAAGTCACATAATGAATGCCTGAACCATGGCCAGTTGAGTAGATGAGCAATCGCGTTTGGCGGATGCATATTCCATTATTAATTATCGTGTCATCTTCAGTAAAGTTTTCCGGGATAAATGACGCGTAGAAGCTGCAGAGTCCGAAAGGCACAAACGCATCTGGACAAGAGAACGACATAAGGGTCAACATTCAATAGTTGTGCCAGTATTCGCATGGCAGGTAAATACATGGACCCGTGGAGTCGGAAACGCGTGCGTGAGATGCGAGACAATGGTTGCCCATCCATTGGTTGAGTTCGTGTGCAACGCCTTCCAGAGTTTCCCTTTCACTGGCACCAAAAGGAATAGCTGTGAGACGTAAAGCTTCAAAGATAGGGACGTACGCTTGGCACAGAATATCTTGGTAAGACGGAGAAAAAGATGAGAAGCATCGGGAAAGTCGGACTCAAAGTACCCAGTACGTGATGGAGCTATCGTTATGTCCTTTCACGTTCCGGGGGACACTTTGCGAGGAATCAGAATTACTGTGAGAGGAGCAGACTTAAACATCCGGATACTGGTTTGCTGGCAAACGTAGTCGTACACAACTTGAGGACTTAGAGGAGGAAGTTCGAAACAGATAGCACGTGACACACGTGCAATCTGCTTTCTGTTTAGGCATTTTCCATCATTCCCAATTGGCCAAATATGGACAAGTATTTTGAGCCTTTACGGCAGTTGATCTCTTTACACGTTTTATATCATATACGTGTCGAAAAATAGAAAATTTTATCGCTCATTAATTCCAGTGCTTGCTGATAGTTTAGTTTACTCAAGAACAATTGTGTTATTGAGCTGCTTGATGTTGCAAGACAAACCTTTCAACTTTTGATCAATAGACGCTGATCCTCTTCCAGAAGGGGTGTCCGAACACTTTTTGGAAACACCCGTATATCTAGAGTGAATCTCCATTTCTTAAATAGTAATAAAATTTCTACATTAGAAGAAATACTGCAGATTTATAGCAGGTACTTTGGCAGACGCGCCTTATCACAGTTTACCGCGGTATCCGAGAGAAATTTGTACCCCCGAGTCGGTAAAGTCAACGCGCAGTTGGTAGACGGGAAGCATAGTCGGTTACAACGCTAGTCCCTATTCCTAATCCATGTAAGCATGACCTTTTGGAGAGCATTTGATGCCGACAAATGTCCGTGCAAGACCGATGCAATGGTTTAAGCAGCAGACCATACGACGATACTACTTCCCCGCCTTCCCCGTTACCCCTCAACTTCACGTTATCGCCATGATATTCACGTCACCTCGCCCTCCACTAGACATCCCGAAGAAGGACATCCTGTCCTACATGTTCGGTATGCTATTCATTCGAGGACATCGCATCCTGTGTCATAGCTGACGGAACTTCTTGGTCGATCGTTCACAAAGATGATTGGAAGCATAGCTGGAACAAACCTCTGTTTGTTGATGCTCATGACCCATCAAAGATTATCACTGCCGAACGGCTCGTCAATCTCATAAGACGCATCGGATGCGGATTGCGTGAAAGCATTGGAGTGCGACCTGGCGATGTCGTGCTTTTGAGTGCGACGAACAACATTCTGGTCCCACCACTAATGCTCGGTATATTATGTGCTGGGGCGGCAATGTCTGCTGCTAGTCCGAGATTTACCCAGCCTGGTTAGTCTATTGAAAACCTTTAGTGACCGTAAGAACAAGAATGACAATGTATATCTGCAAAGAACTTTCGTACCAAGTTAAGGACTCAGGTGCAAAGGCAATTTTTGCCGTCCAAGACACACTTGACGTTGCCCTAAAAAGCGTCGATGCGCTAGGCCTACCAAGGTCCATGGTTTATCTAATTTCACTAGAGAAAAGCTCAGAGAAGGGAGTTCGTACCTTGGGGAACCTTTTGGACTTTGGCGAGATGGACTGGGAACGATTGACAAAGGAGGAGGCAATGCGGAGCCGGCAAGTACTCGATCTACTCATTGACAAAATAGTCAAGATCAGCTCATCCATATCACCAGAATCGCTATACTCAACTATAGCAGCGGTACGACGGGGCTTCCGAAAGGCTGCATGGTTACCGTATATAATATCGTCGCGCACTGCGAGCAACAACGGCAGCTGCATGATAAAGGCCGACAGGTATTACGAGCACGAGGAGAAGACATATCAGACACCGACGCTATCCTTGCTTTCTTGCCTTTCTACCATGCTTGTATGTTTCCTTCCACTGTCCGTTCATATCCGCGCAACTAAAACATCGCAAATTCTTAGTTGGTCAGCAGCATTACGTGTTCAACGCGACTCGAAACGGAGATACCACATACGTCATGCCTTCCTTTTCTTTCGAAGCTTTTCTCCGCTACGTCCCAAGGTACAAAATCACTGCGTTTGCTGCTGTACCACCTGTAGTCGTGCTTCTCGCGAAACATCCCGATGTGCGTAAGACGGACTTTAGCTCGGTTCGCTCAATCCTATCTGGGGCTGCTCCCCTTGGAAAGGAGACGCAAATGCAGGCCGAAGCTGCAATGAATACGTACAAGAAGGGACACGTACATATATCTCAGGGATGGGGTATGAGCGAAGGCGTGTGTTTTAATACCAACTTCATGCTCCATGAGCGTGATCCGGACGTTTCGGGGGTTGGATACCTCACTTCTGGATTGTGCGCGCGCATCGTGCCTGCAGATGGGTCGGACTATTCTAAGTCACTTGGGTTTAATCAGGAAGGGGAGGTATTGTTGAGGGGCCCGCAAATCTTCTCCGGCTATTGGCAGAAGGAGAAGGAGACTCGTGAGGCGTTTACAGAAGACGGTTGGTTCAAGACAGGCGACATTGGTGTTTTCAAAAGGGATGGAATAATGCACATTGTGGACAGGAAGAAAGAACTGATAAAAGTAAAGGGTAAGCAGCGGGTTGCAACGTCCCATGTACTTGGTAGCCCTCAATGCTAAGTTCTTTTATAGCATTCCAAGTCGCACCCGCAGAGCTTGAGGATTTGCTCCTCAAAAGTCCAGACGTAGAGGACGCCGCAGTCATCGGTATACCAGGGTAAGTGCAGTCCTTCCACCCTAATGTGATGCTTTGGCTCAATTAGACGGCAGAGAAGGGACTGAGTATCCTCGTGCATACATTGTTCCCTCACTTCTGCGCCGGTCCACCAGTCCGGAAGCACTCCAAGCCCTTGCAAACGACATTTTGAGATTCTCAGCGACACATTCTGCCAGCTACAAGCATCTAACGGGCGGTATCGTCTTCGTCGACAGTATACCGAAGAATCCGAGTGGGAAAATCCTGCGGCTCCAGCTACGGAACAGGGTCAGAGCGAAAGATTGTAACGATAAAGTTTGGTTATCGGACGAGAGAGGGACAACAAGAGCGAGACTGTAGGGATCCTAGAGTGCATAAATAGAGTGTTTATAGTTATCAGATTCTAGAATGTGCGTTCGTAAATCAATCGTCAAAGTGTATATACGAGCCCAGGAATCATCCGGGTTAGCTTCTTTGCAGCTAGGATATAAAGTGAGAATGACACAAATCCAGTGTGACTTGAGCGATTCAACCAGTGTCCGATTAATGGGAGAAAACAAGTGACGAAATTAGCCATCATGAAGCTACAGACGGAATTCTTGAGCTAAGGCCAGCTGAATATATACGCAAGCGCGTTTCGCTTTCGTATCTTTGACCATTAGGCATTGTGTCATCCTCAGTGAAGTTTTCGGTCGAGATGACATATAGAAGCTGCAAAATCCGGAAGGCACGTATGTGTCTGTACAAGAGTACAACATTACATGCGATCTTCAATAGTTGTTCCTGTATTCTCATGGCAGGAAAATATACGGACCTGTGGAGTCGGAAACGCGTGTGTAAGAGACAAGACAATGGTGGCACATCTATTGGCTCTGCAAGTCTCCCTTTTGCTGGCCAAAAAAAATCTGTGAGACGGAAAGCTCCAGACATAGGGACTTGGGCTTGGCACTGAACTTTCAAGACTGAGAAAGGAACATCGGTGAGGTTGGACCCAGAGTACGTAAAATACATGACGGAAGCTATTGCTATGTCCTTTCACGTGGAAAAGAGCGCCAAAATGGAAGTAGAAGTTACTCTGAGAGGGGGAGTAAAACTCACACGTCAGGATGCGGGTTTGTCGGAGCCTACGATGCAATTTGAGGAAGAGACTAGTAGTAGAGAGAAAGTTGACAGCAGACAGCACGTGACGTTCTTCACGTGGATAAGCATTTCTCATTCCCAAACTATGAATCATCTGAGCATGTGCCCGGAACCCTCGGAGCATTGAATGCCGACAGATTTGATCCCGGTCATTCGTTTGTGTGTAAGGCCCGACCCCAATGGCTTCCAGTCCGTAAGCAGCGGTCCGTACGACGACACTGCTTCCCTGCCGTCGTCGGTATCCCTCAAGTTCAATTATCCGGTACCACCATGATATTCACGTCACCCCGTCCACCGCTTGACATCCCGAAGAAGGACATTCTGTCCTATATGTTCGGTATGCTACTCGTTTGAGCATGTCATATCCCGTGTCACAGCTGACAGAACTTCTTTCTCGATTGTTGGCGAAGATGATTGGCAACATGGTTGGGATAAACCAGTGTTTGTCGATGCTGATGATCCATCACAGATTATCACTGCCGAACAGCTCGTCAATCTCACTAGGCGTATTGGACGTGGACTTCGTGAAAGCGTTGGAGTGCGACCTGGCGATGTCGTGCTTATGAGCGCGACGAACAGCATTATCATCCCACCACTGATACTCGGGATATTATGCTCTGGAGCGACACTGTCCGGTGCCAGTCCGAGATTTACCCAGTCTGGTTAGTTGATTAAAAAACTTCCGTAGTTGTATGAGGGCGAATGACAATGGGTGCCTCTTAAGAACTTTCGTACCAAATTAAGGACACAGGCGCAAAGGCGATTTTTGCCGTTCAAGAGACACTGGACCTCGTTCTGAACTGCGTTGATGCGCTGGGCTTACCAAGGTCGATGGTGTATCTGATTACATTAGAGAAAAGCTCAGAGAAGGGAGTTCGCACCTTGGGAAATCTCTTGGACTTTGGCGAGATGGACTGGGAGCGGTTAACAACGGAGGAAGCAATGCGGAGCCGGCATGTATACGATCGTCTAGTTAATATTAAAGTCAGAACCAGCTCACCCATACCAACAGGATCGCTGCATTGAACTACAGTAGTGGCACAACAGGCCTTCCGAAGGGCTGCATGATTACTGTGTACAACATCGTCGCACACTGTGAGCAACAACGTCAGGTGCATGATATTAGCCGGCAGGTATTGCGGGAACGTGGAGAAGATATGCCAGACACCGACGCTGTCATTTGCTTCCTGCCTTTCTACCATGCTTGTGCGTCACTTTCCACAGTCTGATAATATCTCCTGATAAATCTTGTTATTTTAAGTTGGTCAGCAGCAATATGTTTTCAATGCGGCTCGAAATGGAGATACTACATACGTCATGCCTTCCTTTTCCTTCGAAGCTTTGCTCCGCTACATCCCAAAATACAAAATCACTACATTTGCTGCTGTACCGCCCGTAGCCGTACTCCTCGCGAAGCATCCCGATGTGCGTAATACGGACTTTAGCTCGGTTCACTCGATCTTATGTGGAGCTGCTCCACTTGGCAAAGAGACACAGCTGCAGGCTGAGGCTGCGATGAATACGTACAAGAAGGGACGTGTGCAAATATCTCAGGGATGGGGTATGAGCGAAGGCGTGTGTGGTTCCTGCAACTTCATGCTTTACGAGAGGGATCCAGACGTTTCGGGAGTTGGATATCTCCTTTCTGGCATGAGTGCGCGCATCGTGCCTGCAGATGGGTCGGACTATTCTAAGTCACTTGGTTTTAACGAGGAAGGAGAAATATTATTGAAGGGGCCGCAGATCTTCCCTGGTTATTGGCGAAAGGAAAAAGAGACTCGGGAGGCATTTACAGAAGATGGGTGGTACAAGACAGGTGACGTTGGTATCATGAAAAGAAATGGGATAATGCACATTGTGGACAGGAAGAAAGAACTGATAAAAGTAAAGGGTAAGTAATGAATTGCAACAATCATGTCCTTAGAAAGCTATCAATACTGAGTTCTTTTATAGCCTTTCAAGTTGCGCCTGCTGAACTTGAAGATATGCTCCTCAAGAGCCCAGATGTAGAGGATGCTGCTGTCATTGGTATACCAGGGTAAGTGCAGTCTTTCCGTCCTAAGATGTCGATGCTGACGTAACTGGACGGCAGAGAAGGGACTGAGCATCCGCGCGCATACATCGTTCCCTCACCTTCGCGCCAATCTACCAATCCGGAAGTACTCCGGGCCCTTGCAAACGACATACTGACATTTTCCGCAAGACATTCCGCTAGCTACAAGCATCTGACAGGCGGTATCGTCTTCGTTGACATTATACCGAAGAATCCGAGTGGGAAAATCTTGCGACGACAGTTACGGGATAGGGCTAGGGCAAAAGATTGTAATGATAAAGTTTGGTTATCGGAAGAGAGAGGGAAGATAAGAGCGAGGCTGTAGGAATCTTCCTGGGGGGATACTTAATTAGCATGTTTTGGTGTTATCTTATCAAAGTCCATATATGCGCATAGGAAACGTCTGGCTCGGCCTTCTTTGAAGCTAGGGTGTCTGCGTTACCTTGAATAATTCTGAATGAATAAGATCACGACAGCAAAGACGTAGTCGTAGTGGTACCAGTTTACATGACACGAAAGTGAGACAAACGCGACGTGACAGAACACGTGCATAAGATTTTGTCACGCTGCGCGGTAAATTAAGTGGCTCTAATTGGGTCACAATATTGCTCCTTTCCACTCTGTCAACTCGACTAGCAAAGAAAATATGTCAGGAGGGAAGCTCAATCTGCACCCATCCTACACATACAGTGATGGTGATATCATTCTCAAAACGTCGGACGATGTCTACTTCCGCGTCCATTCGATCATTCTCAAGCTCGCCTCAGGCTTCTTCAGGCAGATGCTTGATATTCCACGCGCGGAGACTGAATCGTCGGACGAAGCGATCCCACTGACGGAGAACAGTAAAGTAATCGCGTTCCTACTCGACCTTGTATATCCAACGACCGGCACTAGTGGAGAAGATTCGAATGGAGTAGCACGTTTCCCGAGGCTGGACACTCTCAGTTTTACCTGGGCCGTTACGAATGCAGCAGACAAGTACGATATGCCTCGGGCACTCGCAGCTGTGCGCGCAATCGTATCGAACTCAGAAACACTACAAGTTGCTCCACTTGGACTATATGCACTCGCTTGTCGATGGAAGTGGGTTGACGAAGCACGTGCTGCGTCGACTGCGACACTCTCAAAGCAAATATTACGCCCGGAGAACTTCGCCATCTTGCGAATGATTGATTCTGGTCCGCTCTGTAACCTTTTGGAACTTCATGCGAAACGTAAAGAGGCGATATTGAAGTGCTTCGATTTGCAGTATAGGGAACACAAGAACTTTGTTGTTTACCAATGGGAATGCGGATGTTCAACGGAGGAGGATGGAACTAAGACGGATTTGTTTGGACGGCAGTGGGACGCTATGCGCTCTCTTGTTATTGCGTCTCTTGAGACATGTCCGTTAGGATCCGAGTTGTCAGGTGCGAACTTCTGGACCAAGGACTTGAGGTTATGGAGTTTTCGCTGTCAGAATTGCAGCAAACAGATCCTCAACAAGTCGTATTTCATCAAGAGAATCGGAGAAATTATTCAATCCTCCGACATACCCAATGTTGTCAACTGCTAGCAGGCGTACTCGGCCTTCAAGCACGATATAATCTTTGCCAGCCTTGTATATTTACAGAATCCCGATGAGGCGTGCGTCAATCCGCATTACTATGCGAATATAAATACAATAAAATACGCGGAGACCTCTTCAGACACCCTTGAAGAGGGACCATACACCCTTTGCATATCCCACAATCTCGTCCGCTCCCAACTTACTCTCCCCGAATATCCGATCCACGAATGTAATGGGTACCTCACCGATCGTGTATCCTGCAGACCTTGCTCGAACCATCATCTCCATCTGGAACACGTACCCGCGCGAAACGACGCTCGTGATGATGTTTCGTAAGACGGGAAGGCGGTATAATCGGAAGGAACCTGTGAGGTCGCTGACTCCTGGAGCAAGGGCGGTGTCGGCGAGGAAATTGGCACCACGGGATACAAGTTTACGTTTGAGATCCCATCCGTGGACACCGCCTAGAGATGTGCCCGGTAATGGAGGAGAGGCATGGTTGCTATATCGTGTCCCGGTTACGATATCGAGGTTGTATGCTCGTTGTAACCTGATATATGCAAAGTCAATTTTCTTTGAATTCAGCAGAAATACATATGATATTCACCGAATAAACTGAGGGATGAATTTTGGCTAGAAGTAAAATGAGTGACTAGTAATATAACTTTGCTTACACTGGACTTACATGGTGAGAAAAGTCGGCGTCCATTATGATAACGAAGTCGCCAGTGCAGAAATCAAGACCATGGATATATGCCGTGCTTCACTGAATTGTCAGAGGTAGTCAAAGTCTTTCGACAGGCACTTAGGCACATACCCGAGGCCCAGCTTCCCGGCTCGCGGTTTCAAGACCTGATGTTAAAGGTTAAAACGAGGCCTGTATCTGCTTGATTGAAGCGAACTTACGATTTTATCTTCGCCGTATACCCGTGCGAGCTGCTTCGCCACGTCCTGCGTGCCGTCCGGACTTGCGTCGTCTACAATGATAATCTCCCAACTCAATTTACTTATTCACGAAGCACGTTTCATTAGCACAATTTGCTCTTCCTCCTCAAGCATTATCAATTATAAAAGAGGGAATGGTCAACTCACTTCTCCTCGAACGTCTTGGCGATCAACCAAGTGATGACTGGCAGGTTCTTTCGTTCATTGTAGGTAGGGAGGATGATGGAGTACTTGTGCGTGTCTTGTGAGTCGTGTTCCCCTTGCATTTCTAGAGAGATTGGGCTCTCAAATGGGTTCATGTACTACACAGCGGGGAGGATATGAGTCTAAGTACAGTAACGAAGTGTAGACGCGCGAAGATTGACGCGTCGTGACGTGTCGAGTGTCACGTGAATTTAATCAACATTGAGTACATTCGGAAAGCGGATACAATGCAACAAAGCTCTAAATAACAGCAAATATAACAAAAACTAGACGAACGAAACGGGAAAATATATACTTTTGATTAATGGGGAGATCACAGCTCCATATCCACGTCCATGTCCATGGATTCACCCGTGTCACCTTCCTCCTGATCCATGCTCACAATCCCAGTGGTAAAATGTCCAAAAGATGCGAATTGACGTGCCTCGTCCGCATCTATCTCCTCTACCTGTACTCCGCTTTCCTGCTTCGGTGTGTTTCCTTCTTCAACCTTCTCGTCTGCGTTTGGACCCTTGAAGAACGAAGTAGGAGGGGGCTTGAAAAGCACCAGCGCACCGTCGGTTTCCTTCCTCTGAGATTTCGGGGTGTATGGAAAATTCGACTGACGCTTGATGTGGTCGAGAAGTACCGAGGAAATGCTGAAGTCTGCATTTGAGTCTGCCCAGTCTGATGCATTAGGGTGAGGCTCTGCTTCGGATTTGTATTCGTCTACCAAGTCCTTTTGTTCCTCCCCTTCCGCTGCTGCTTCGTCGAGGTCCGTAATTACTATTCCTGTACCAACTTTAGAATAAGTACTCCACGATAGGATGGATGATGACTTACGATCTTTCTCGCGCTCGTACCACGCTGGCTCTGCACCCTTCATACGTACTTCGGTAATAGTAGGCTCGTCATTAGTATGCTGACTTGAAGACCGTCCGAACATCGCGTCCGATCGAAACTCGGGAGAAGCAGGTTCCTCAACCGCATACTGAGGAAGAATGGAATTTTGCGACACCGGGCTGGTGCTTCCAGCCGTATACGCATACGACAGGTTGGATGCGGTGGACTGCACTGAAGACAATTGCGGAGCACGTAATGCCTGGTCACACTCAACGATTTCAGAGTCGTTCATTGGCATCATCTCTCCGGTGCGAGTGTCGATGTACATACGCGCCATACGCCGTTCAATGGTATCGCACCTTCGGCGCTTCCGCTCGTTGTTGAGTTCACCATCAGTTGTGCTGTCCTGGAGACCCGTGCTCTCGGGCGGCGGTGTCGGGTAGAAAGTAGGGGCTGTATCCTGGTCGCTGTCTAACAGGAGGTCACGCGCTCCATCATCGTCTGAGGAGTCCGAGTGCTTGCGTTTGAGCGAGGGTGTTGTGAACCAGGGATGTCTGAGCGGTTCTGATGCCGCCCAGGTCGACGCCATTGGAGCCGTGAGGGCCAGTTTGTGGACCTCAGCTATAGACAGTAGTACTCTTCAATGCTTGCAATTTGGGGAGTGCAAACATATACCACTGATATGATATAGTTGAGCGAGTGCAGCAGAGGAGGCAGTGGAATTATCCGGAACGTTCGAGTCTGTCTGGTAACGGGCGTTGCTAAGTTTTAGCTGACAGTCGCTGATTAGCAACAGCAGCCTCATAATGCTATTCTCGTCATCTTAACACACTGGAAGGTAAGGTAGGGAAAGTATAAACTCGACAAACCCAAGGTATCACGTGCACGACCCTGAATACACAGCCACTTACTACATTAGGAAGGACCCTAGCGGCAAAAATCGTGGTGAAGATATGATTTTTTGTCTCAGTCTCAAGAAAATTGTAAAAGCTTTTAAATATGTCAAGTAGAAAGTACATTGTGTATTTACACTTATAAGTCAGCCAAAATATTATTAGGAAGTACTCTATGACTATAGTATTTCTGGTTTGCCTATTAAGCTTGTTTGCCAGTCAAGCCTTTCTAGTATGCATCCATGAATCTAGTTACAAACCTATGAAAGAAATTCAATAAAACTACATACATAAATATTTGAAAAAGATACTTACTTTCTGAACAAGTCAAATGATACAGCTCCTCCTTTACTGTACAGGTTTTGTGTTCTAGCTTGTATTACTTTCTTTTGGCAGGGCATTATTGACTGAGTTGTGTTAGTAGTGTACAGAAGTCATGTGGATATAGATGCTGTAATGATGACTAATAATTATGTATATACCAAATAAGGCGATTATTTGTAATATTATGGTTACCTGAGGTGGCAAAAATCAAAAACCTAAAAACTCAAAAAAAGTTATTTTCTTGCCAGAATGTTGCTAAGGACATTCTAGAGTGTTTAAGTCAAAAAAAGCTTCTTTTGGAAATAAGTCAGGCATTTTCTAATATTTTTGAAAAATAAAACCATCAATTTGTAGCTACTTTAAATACAAATATTTTGATGGAATTACATTTTTAATTTGTGGTGTGTGGAAGATGGTATTTCGTTGTCTAAGTGTGAGGCCAAAAAAGGCAATTAAGGTTACATGAGGTCGGTTGAGTTTATACTTTCCCTACCTTAGGAAGGAAGAGTTTGAAATTTAGTCATATTATTACATCCAGTCCAGTCCAATATACCACACAGGCTCTGTGGGCACGTGACAGGCTCTTTCCCTGTTTGCGTTCGACTGTATTCTGCCAACAAGACTTGCCTATTTTGGTAACACCGGCGAAGAGAGAGACGTCGTCCCCCTTGTTCCCGTTCCAGTCTTTCCTTTTACTCAATAAAGCCCCATACTCATACTGTAAAGTCGTTTCCTAGACGTAGTGCTCCTGCATGGCCCACTCAATGATATGGTATACACAGCGTATTGGAGATTTCTTCGTTCTTCGTGGTAACCACAGAGTTGTCATCATTAAACGCTTGGTGTTTCAATGGCCAGCCGGAAACGTTTCCAGATAAGTACAAGAGAAAGTACAAGCCGTCAACAACATCATGAATCTATACTTAAGTATATATCTACCTTTGTTACGCTTTTGGGCCTTTCGCTTGTCGTCTTCTCCTCTCCAGTGATATCGATGGCTCAGTCTAAGCGACACGCGCTTCAAGATACAACAAGCCACATTCTCTGTACAAACATAAATGTCTTTCCTCCGAAGATGTCTTACCAAATTTTCTCTCCCTTTAACCACATCCTCCTCTTTGCCTCGCTTGCCTCACTTCGTTTGGATAACTCAAGATAATTCGCGAATAACGAGTTTGCATGGTCCTCCGGATGACATCGCGTCCTTCGTCCCTTGAGCCTCCTTTACCATTACCCGAAGCTGGCATTCGGGATGATGGCAAGCCACAGTGCAAAATTTGCAGCAAGGTGTTCAAGCGAATGTACGCCTTGGAACGACACATGATTGTACACGACCCCCATCGTGAACGTTTCGAACATAAGTGTCCATACAACGGCTGCAGGTTCTCTTCACTCCAAAAGTCGAACGTAAAAACGCATATCGCAGCAGTACAGTAAGCTATATTCCACTTCTATTGTTGCATGTACGTTTCTCACAGCATTTATGCCTGTAGCGAGAAGATCAAGCATACTTGTACTTTACCACGCATTTCCGATAATCCCTTTGATTTGGGCCGCGAGACGTCAGAGAAATGCTTGCGTATTTTTAGCGATGCTCCCGCACTTATCAGACACGAGAAGCGTGCACACGGATTCTATCGACGTCAGGCGCGGGGCACGAATGCTGCGTCCAGATTAGACCTGGCAGTGACGTATCCTGAGCCACAGACCCAGTTTGTTGGCACACAGGAGGAGAGCATCAACGCGATCGCATCTTCTTCGACAGATGCAATGTGCGACCAGAAAGACGTCGGGCGTGCCTCACAGGCCGAGAAAGTAAGGTGCTGGCTTCACACGAACGATACACAGCCGGAAGGAGGGATGGACTGGGAACGTGAGCCTACGCGTCACGGAGTACCTGACTCGGTTGAAGCACACAGGTCGCCATTGACTTACGCCTCAACCTCAAATATGGCGTCGTTTTCGTCATCGCATCTCGCTCCTGTTTCTGATGTTGAAAGTTCTGTTGCTTCTACTCTTTCAACATCTCCGTCTCTTGCTTCCGAGCTGCTGGATCAGCACTCCTCCATTTCGACACATCCTCCATCATACCCTCCTGCTAATTATTACCCTTGCACACCAACTGCTGAATCGCAACACTCTTACAGTAGGGTCGCAGGATATCAGACGTCGGAAGTTGTCTATTACGACAATGTTGAGAATCCCACAGTAGAGCCATGGCTACCTCAATGGTTAGAAACGAGACGTGTAATGCAGGCAAATGGACGGTATGAATGGGACGGTGTTGTCACGAGTCTTTCATTTTTCGATTGAACTTGGTATTACTATACATTGGAATAGTTGAATGTATGCTTCCACATTATTCTGTATTGTAAGCCTAGACTCATTGTATACCCATTACTAGTTCCATTACCTGTCCTTTTGTATTGATGTATCCATGGTTATCTACAGCTTGCATTTATTGGCTTGACAGACAAACAAGGAGTAAATACAACCTAAAAGTTCATTCAGAGTTTGATACATTCCTTTTGCTTCCTGTTGTTTGGATACTTGTTCTATACTAGTAACTTGAGAAGATTAGATCTTTGTACAAGCATTTCACAAGAGAGTAATAGTCAGTCTCAATTCTATTTTTTTTTGCAATTGAAAGTTCTGCCTAGTACAGGGATAGGATCTTGTGACCCTGTACTGAGAAATGTAAATCAACTAATGAATTAAGGTTATCAGTTGATTTTTTTCTTTTATGGCTCATGTAAATAATAGTTAAATACAAGTTATAAATATTTTCTAAGTAAAAGAAATTTATTTTACTTATAATTTTGTTAGATTATAGTAAAGAGACTTAGTATACTGAATATATGTACTTACTACTCTTGTTACTTAATTATGAGAGCAGTTTTACCTAGCTTAGACTACTTGAGTTGTATTTATAATCTTTATATTAAAAGTCTGGCAAGATTCAAGAGCTCTCAAGCTTTTAAACTTACTTGAAAAAAATGTCTTAAAAAGGCTAAATTACATGTACCTGGACAGGTTTGTAAGTCTCACCCTTACTCTACTCTTACTAAAACTTATTATACTAAAAATAAATTGGCCATTTTAACAAATTTGAGAGGGTTTAATATATAATATTTGTTTAGTTTGTGTAAGCCTACTATACAACTTACTACAGTTCTGAAGGTTCTGAGAGTTCTGTTCTAGAACTCTCTTACACAGTCTTAGACTATATATATAGTTCCTAGTCCTGAGCTACTCATTCTTAGTTCTAATCCTAAGCTATACATATAGTTTCCTTTTTTACTTGTATTATACATTCCTTTAGTCTAAACTACTTTCCTTTCTCCTCTAGTATATAAAGCTTATATTTACACCTTTGTTGTACTAGTTCTTATTTACTAACTATAATAAAGGTGTGTTTTATTATATACTCTGAGTTCTTGTTTACTAACTGTAACAAAGATACTTTTATCCTATTAGTCCTTACATATTCTACAATCTTTAAGCTTAGTGTTTAGTACTCTACTAGTACTGTTTTACTTTTTTTTTAACATTAACAAAGTAGTCTTTATTACAGTATGTGTTAGTAAGGTTTTACTAACCTTTCTAAACACCTTCCTACTGTTAGTAAGGTTCTAACCTTTCTGAACACAATTCTAATGTTAGTAAGACTGTTCTACCTTTCTAAACAATTACTAAGTTTTTACAGTCTTACTGTAACTATTACTTACAGTTCTAAAACAAGTTCTGTCTGTATTCTAAATATATATAACCTAGTTCTAAGGCTCTTAGTACTAGATAGTGTCTAACACAGTTATAACTATACTACCCTTCTTTAGAGACACAGTCTACAGTTTCTCTACTCTCTTACTAGTGTTTATTAGTCTCAGTTCTAGTAGAGAGAATAGTTTAGAAGATTCAGAGCTAGATAATAATAATAGTAAACTACTCAATCTAAGCTACTCATTTAGAAAAATGTTCTACACTATACTAACTATAGCTTAAGTAGTTTAAAACAATATAATAAAGCCTTCTATACTAATACTAGGTAATCTAACACTATTAGTCCTCTAATTATAAATATTAGTATTCTAAGAGTATATAACTATAAAGGTAATTAATCTAGTTTAGACTGTTTCAATTATAATAGAATACCTTTAAAATAGCTACTTATACTAATAGTACAAATACAGACAGACTTAACTTGAGTCTATTACTTTAGATAAGTTTTATAAGGAGCTTTAAAGTAAGATACTCTTTATAAACTAGTAAAACAATTAGTATTATACTAAGAACTGTATATTATATACAGACAATTATAGTAATTAATTCTAAACATTTATATAGTTTATAAAAGTGTCTTCTAAGAACACTCAACTATTCTGTATTATAAGTATTTGTAAACAGAACTATAAATGTGTATAGTCTTAGAATAGACTTACACACACTACTTACTTTATAGAATATATAAATTATATACTTATTATAGGCTTAGAACACAAGTTGTGTTATAGTAAATAGCTTAGTAAACTATTATATTATTATTACTTAGATTAAAGTACTATAATCCTTTAATTAGATAGAACATTAGAGTAATCAAAGTAATAATCTTAGAAGACAGTCAGAAATCTTAAAACTCTCTACACTTTGTTTATACTAATTAAATAGTAACAGTATAAGAACTTTCTACTTCTTTTAATGTAAATCTTACTTTTCCTTTTGTGTAACATTTCTTATAGTTAGAATACAGACTACTTAAATTTTCTTTATATATTTTTTACTCTATTTTTTCTAACCTTTAATAAAAGGTTCTCTTATTTGTTTTTGTATATTTTGTTATTTTTCTTTTGTTTAATTATAACATTTCCCTGTTAGTATTACACTTTTCTAAAACTTAGAAAACTATAAATACAGTTACTTATATACTAGATACAGAGGGGAATTTAAATAGTTGTAAGTCTATCTTATAACTTATAACAGTTTCTGTACTATTCTATACTTCTTCTAGTATAGAACTATATTTCTGAACCTAAACCTTCTTTTAAGTCTAAACCTTCTTAGTATAGATTCTAGAGTTATACATATTTTCTCTTTTGTCTTTATACTATGTTTCCTTATTGTCTAAGTTACATACTCTTTATTCTTAAGTGTATATACTCTCCTTTTATCTTTTACATTGTTTTCCCTTTTAAGTATAAGCTACCTTTGTTTTATTTCTAATATATATAGTTTTAATCTTTTACTTTTATTATACTAGTTCTTATTTCTAACTGTAACAAAGGTGAGTTCTTATATATATATAGACTAGTTCTTATTTCTAACTATAACAAAGATACCTTTGTTCTGTTAGTGTTTTGTATGTGTTAGTAAACTTAGAACATAATAGAACTTGTTTGTAATAGTATTTAACACTTTCTTAATACTGTTCTACTTTTTTTTAAATATTAACAAAGTAGTCTTTATTATACTACATGTTAGTAAGGTTCTCTTAACCTTCTCAAATGTTTCCTACTGTTAGTAAAACTCTTTTAACTTTTTTAAACACTCTCTACTGTTAGTAAAACTCTCTAACCTTTCTAAACACACTATTACAGTTTTAAAACAAGTTTGACTCTCTTTCTAACTGTATATAACTAAGTCTTGTTTTCTTTAACACTAAGCATCTTTAGAAGCTGTTATAGTTACTCCTCTATTAACTAGAAAAGCTGTATTTACTTTCTTTATACTATTACTATTTATAGTAACTCTAAGTTTAAATTTAGTAAGTAGTTCAGACCTTTTAGAACTAGAAAGTAATACTAGTAAGCTACTCACCTTAAACTACTAGAAGGTTATAATGTTCTATACTATATTTATTAAAGTCTAAATAGTTTAAGAAAGTATAACAAAGTTTCTAATACTAACTCTAAAAGACTTAACACTATATACTCTCTAGTTATAAATCTCTGTATTTTACAAGTATGTGTTTACTAAATCTGTCCTTATAACTTGTATAGTTATAGTTATAATAGAATGTTTATAAAATAGTAAACTATACTAGTAGTATAAGTATAACTAGTTTAGACTTAAAGAGCTTATACTAAACACATTCTATTAAGAGCTTTAGTGTAAAATACTCTCTATAAACTAAGTAGTACAAACTTAGAATAAGCTACTAGTAATATAGTAAGATAGTTACAATTTCTAAGAATAGTAGTTATAAGTTATTAGAATCAACTTTAGTCTTTTAAAAGATTAGTACCTTAATTCTAATAGACTTTACAAACTTTTTAAAACTAACTTACACTCAGACCTCTAATTTAAGCTTTACCTTACACTTATAAATTTAGTTCTAACACATTCTAAGTAGTTTGTAATATATATAGAAAGGTTGTATATAATAACTTTAGTAAATAGTTAAATCCCTAATTCTACAGATTACTTTCTAACCTTAGAACTAGTCTTAGGAAAGAAAGTAACAGATTGTACTAAACTCTATAAGTAGTTAGAACATGTATACAAACTTGTAAAACAGTTAGAAATAGACTGTATAAAAGTTTATAATAGTGTAAAAGTAATACTTATAGTAAAACAGGCTTAAAAGAAGGATTAAAAGAAGTAGTATATAAGAAAGGTTATTCTTATAATAGTTAGTCTAAAAGTTACTTTAGAAAGTATTATAAAGTGTATTAGTTTGTTTTATATAGAATACTAGCTTCTAATAAAGAATTAGGAATGTTTCTAATACTATAAACTGTTACAGTTCTTTACTCTTACATTTTTAGTTTTAAGAGTTCTATACTCTTTTATACTAGAACTTAAAACTTTTGTTCCTTAGTAGTACTGTTTATAAACTATATACAGGTAAACTCTTACTACTACTTCTCTTTACTTTATTATTCTGTTCCTTTAACTATTTCTTTATTTTTTGTTTATTTTATAGTCTCTTACTTTATTCTTTCATTCTTTATATTTTTATCTTTAATCTTCTTTTTAATTATTCTTAGTAACTTACTATTTCCTAAGTACTCTTATATAGTTTAGTATATATAAGTGTATAAGATTAGACTAGTTTTATAGTTTTAATCTTGTTTACTCTAAATAGTTTTATACTCTTAAATTTACTCTATATACTTTACTCTTATTTTACTCTCTCTCTCTGTCTGTTTTATAAGTTCTAATTATGTTCTAGTACTTATATTCTGTATTTCTATTATGTAAGATAGTTATAGTTTAGGTCTTCTTACTAAGCCTTTAAGTCCTCTTTATATTATTACTAACATTAAATTAAAACTACTTATTACTACTTTATAACTTTTCTACATTTTAAACATTAG